CTTGTTTTGTTCACCAATGTTCTGAATAAGCTCTATTCTGCCATCTGGTGGATAGAAGAAACATAACTCTCTCTCTTTCTCTCTCTCTCTCTCTCTCTCTCTCTCTCTCTCTCTCTCTCTGTGTGTGTGTGTGTGTATGTGTGTGTGCGTATTTACACTGTAGCTTAGATGCCAATTACCTGCCTTGTGTCATGCCTGGGAAAGGTGATAAGAAAAGCTAATTTGCATGGATTTCAATAAAATGTGACCATTCTTACCTTAAGAAATCAATGGCTTCCTTAATAGAAAAAGTAATTATGGCTGATTAGAATGCACTGCACGCTAGACATTTTTTAATTATTTATGCTATCTACAGGCTACCATGTGTAAAAGGCTGGAAATGTGTACAGGTCAGTGATTGTATTGTAATATAATGGACTCCTAGAGGTCAGTGGTGGGTTGTTGCTTGGATACTAAACCTACATTCATTACAAGGGCTTTAAGGCAGATGCATAGCATAAGGACTGTGGTTTACATCTGAAGTGATAATAGATAGGGACATCTTCCTGCATCAGTGGACCATAAAATAATGTAATAATTTACTGAGTAGATTTATCAGTATCTGTTTATCAAAATGACAACATCATTTCAAATTAAAAATTGCCTCATTGGCATAATAAAGAACAGTATTGCTAAAGCAAGTTGTACTATGGTACTATGTAAGTATAGTCATTCAGATTAAGAAAGGATAACAAATGATTTGCACATAAATATTTAGAATACTACAATGAAAAACAATCACAATTATTATTATTATAATAAATAATCAGAGGAATGTTCAGTACTGAGAATAAGAGTAATTGTTTTTATCATTTCATTTAAAGGCTCACTTGCTACTTATAATCTAAATAACAATAGTGATTATTTCACTAATGATACTGGTATCAGACCGTCTTTAAATGCTATTTTCTGGGAGATGTTCCACCAAGCTGTACCATATACAGCAGACATGGCCAGATATAGCAAATATTGCCATGCCCACAATGAAAAATATGTGATACAATTTGATGTTTTCACTATCTTTTTGTTTAGACAGTACAAAACTTAAGGAGCTGAAAATATGATCTTTTCAGCAGGTATTCATAAGAGGCATGTACCTGCGTATTTGGTTCTTTATTCCAGTTTATCTATACCATTTCACCACCAGGTGTCAGTAAAGTCCAATGGATCAGACCGTGAGCCATGTGACTGAGCAGATTTGTGGTGAAATAGACAGTAAGGATTTATGCAAAAAGTGGTATGTAATGGATTGAAAGCAAAAAGCTCAAGCAAATGAATTAAGATATAACATTTAGACTTACAGCATGTTTTCACCCTATTAATTGTCTTGTCACATTAATAATAAGACAGCTTTGAATTATATGTAAAATCAGCAATGCAAAATATAGCCCTGTTTATACTCAGCCGATGTGAACAAATCTTCCACAGCATCATGAAACATTAATATATTCCTGTTCCTGCCAAGTGTTTAGGCAGTGTATTACGTAAAAGACCAATCTTGTGAGGGTGTCCTTTTGTTTAGGTCATGGGTTGTGCCTTTAACGAGCGACTGTAAATGCAGAATTAAAGCACATAATGTAAAAAGCCTGATGTGGGAAAGATTTCATGCATGGTTTCTGTTCCTGTCGGACTGATGATCATGTGGGCAGACACAGGAAGTGCGGCAGCCAAGCTCAGGAAGACACACCCTCTGCTCCCCGGCTGTGAGCAGCAGGAACTTCCTCTATAGGTATCATCATTCAAATGTATGATTATTCATGTATCTGTGAGAAATACATTCTTGTTCTTGTGGTTTGATTTTTCTCAGTATCTCCCTTTGAAGTTAAAATATCATAACAGATGCCGTAGATGCTACAGATTAGAAATAAAGGTGTGAGCAAAGAAATCGTCAAACACGTGACTTTCTATAAAAATCGGTCTGACTGTTTGACCAGGTGATCCTCTCCTTTTCCCGTCACCAGCTGGGATTAGGAAAGTTGATCAATAGCCAGCTGTCATCAATACGATGGCTGTAAGAGGCCTGTGGGTACCGCGATGGAGATCCATTGCCCTGAACCTGACAGCTACTGCAGCAGGAGAGAGCGGTGCCTTGCTCTACACAGCTATGGCTGACATCCTGTCACAGGAAACTATAGCAAACCTCAATAGAAAACAACAAGGGTGTTATTTTAGAATAACTTCGCCATTTCAGTTTTAAGGAGTGCTGATACAGCTTACTCTCTATTTCACTTTCTCTCTCACTTGCTGTTTTATCTTAGCTCTTTACCCTCAGACTAAAGAAAAGTGTGTTTTGCCCTTTCCCATCATTCCTGATCTGGTCACTCTTTAGGCCCGATGTTTTCACTGAACATACAGTAGTTGTGAATGGATCACAAGGGTTACTGTGGTCACATCTCGTGGACTCATGTCCCCCTCGGTTTAAATTGGAGCTGATGTTTGAGTTTGAAAACTGGTCGTCAGAGGCCTTTTCACATTAAAGTGAGACAGCTGGGCCAGGCAGTGAGGCTTTTAAAAGCAGAACTTTTGCTGAATTATTTCTGAGAATGCATAATACATGAGATATCACGAGGGAAGAGAGGGGGATGAGACTCAGTGAGGAAAAGAACGGGGCATGAAATCGAGCCAACTTCCTCTTCCTAGACATTTACTGTCTTAGTCTACCGGCATGCATGCAATTTCCTCATCCCCTACTCACTCTTTTCCTCTGTCTGTCAAGTCATACACTCACAGATTTCATTCTCCCCTCTCAGTATTCCTCCCGTCCTTGACAAGTAGCTGGGCTCCAACAGTAGTAAGTCATTCTCATTCATAGGGCTAAATGCGATTGGAGAGACCGTGTTTTGGCTACAGATTGAGCCACTTATCACCACCAAGGTCTGTGAAAATATCCACATAAAAATACTAGCATTTTTGAATAAGACCCTTCACTTCTACAGACTGTACCGCCCTCTGACAAAACACATCTGGGTGATTACATACCGTATACAGTAATCCTCTGTGTGTCATGTGGGTGTTGGTATTTACCAGAAAAGAATTGCCCCATTGTCTGCAGCATTTACATGAAGCATAACGGTCTTAATATAGAATCAAGTCTGTCCATGATGTAAAGAATTTACTTTGGGTCCCATTAGTCGGACCATATTTGACCATTCTGAACAGACGCTGAGCTCACACCCTCCCCTGCATGCATACTCCTTTCATATAAATTGGCTGTGATTTGATTTGCCTCCTCAGTGGGTTATAAATGGGGTTGCATTATCCCATGCTTTCTGGCCATGTCTCGTCTGATGATGTGAGTTGGCCTGACACTGACTGTTACACCCTCCACTGTTGTAGTTTATTTTGACCAGGCCTCAGGGGCATCAGCAGATGCTCAGTTTTATGGCTTGTGAAACGGGAACCGAGGTTGGACGGCATGCCATGAGGTTGCACAACCGAAGTCTTTCCAATTCCCTTTGAATGCGACTGCAAATGAATGAGACTAATATTTACAGTCTCCACTCTGTTGTTTCCTCCTGCTGATTGTCTCCAGATCGATACCTAAGGAGAGGGGAGGTGGGTGGAGGAAGATCATCCCCACATCTCTGATGAAGAGTGATGCTCTAAAATTACAGAGGAATGTCAACTCTTGTGTTCTGTATTAGCCATTACTTGGAATTTGTTTTCTACAGAAAATTCAGTCTCTCTCTCTCAATATATCACATATATATGCGCAACTTAAAAGCATGTAGCATGAGCATTAAATAATATAGAGTAGTCCTCTCACCCATCTGACTGTGCTGAATAATTTTTTGGGCAGGTGATTCCAAGCTTTTTAAACGGTGTATATGAATATGGACCCAGGAGGATGTTCAGCAACTCCCAGTTGCCACCAAACATACAGAAATTGAGAGGACAGACTACACAAACACATAAGAGATTAAGCTCAGACCATTCACACAGACAGGAGAAAGGAAACAAACACACAGAGGAGAGAGAGAGAGAGAGAGAGAGAGAGAGAGAGAGAGAGAGAGAGAGAGAGAGAGAAGAACAAGAAAGACAAGATGAAGGAGGATGAAGATTCAGATCCAAAACGGGACTGAGGCACCGGCAGCCAGGGGAGCGCGAGAGAGGTCCCAGAACGCCCGTGGTCCAGCACAGGGAGGCCTGAGTGGAACCAGAAGACAAAGTGGGGGGGGGAGAGAGAGAAAGAGAGAAGGTGAGAGAGTCACACAACTAGGACACTCATGGGCTTGTGGGACAACAAACAAACAGAGGGTCATAGAGAAGCACTGGTTTCCATACAGTTCCCAGTATTCTCGTAGACAAACACGGACTATAAGTACTCGGCTTACTCTCTACTGGCTCAGTCTTTATCATGCTGTTACAGACCTGCAGCACCAGCAGCTTCAGACCTGCAATTAAGGATGTGTGTGTATAGTCAAGGAAAGTAAAAGCTGCAAAGCAATTTTAACTATTTGACCAATATCCTCTTCGACACCCAAAAGTGGCTGTGTTTCCTTTTCCAAGATGACATCTGCAGCTTTTTAATAAATCCTGTCCTCCTGTGATGACCACAATGCAGAAGATGCACTTTTATTTTTGAAAATCTGGTTTAGCCTACGTGCTGTGATGTGTGTATTAAAGGGCTTTTTAAAATCTTATTTTCAGTATTTTTTAAATAGCAAAGCTCCCTAGCTCCCTCTTATGGAGAGCCTGCTAAATGGAAAGAGTTTGGGAGTGAGTTAAAAGCTACTTTACATTAAATATAATGTTAATCCTTTCTATAGAACCTAATGTGTATAAGAAATGTTCATATATATTGGCATTGAACCCTCAGTCTGTCCATATGATCTGTTTGCTTTAAGTAGCTAGTAGGGGAGACAGTGCGCGCGCACGCCTGAAAAAATTCTAAACTGTGATTGCGCGCGAGAAAGGCTGGATTTAATTGTACACGTACGCGCGCGTGCGTGTGTGTGCACGCGTTTGTGGGCTCATTGCGATTGCGCTCACACAGTCTTGAATTTGTCCCGCGGATGCATGCGAGAGGGGGAAGCTCTCCCGTTATAGCGAGGCAGCGCAAAAGTGTCGGCGGCAGGACGCGGGGCGCTGCGCAGAGCGGAGAGTAGAGAAGCGGACGTGGTGAGCGGAACAGCTCTCTGAGACCAAAGTGTGAGCTGTGAACATAAACGGCAGCAGCAGACCCAACGGCATAAGTCAGCATCTCCATTGTTGTTTTTTTTTTTTGAGCACACCTCTTGAGAAAAAAAAAAGCTAATCGGAGGAGGTCGCCGTCTTGCTCGTTATTCCACCAGGACGGCTTCAGTCCGAGCGTCCGCTGCCCGGCTCCAACACGCTACCGTGCGCTCCCATGATGGACCAGCACTGGTGATTCGGTGAGGGAAGACAAGCCACCCTGGACGCCAACAAGTCCACCGTGCTTTGAGCAAAATGGGCTGTTATTACATTGTGGAGGTGGGGGCTTTGCTGTAACACCGGCGGATCATGGCAGGGGTACACGCTTCAGATGTTGTGTCGGGACATTTTTTGGATCCTGCCATCGGCGCCCAGCCGGCCCAGGGCGAGACCAACGCAGCGGGAATCACCGGCAATGCGGCCGCGCTGCCTCAGACCGGTACCCGGGCATACTTGGAGGTGTCAGCTGCTGCCCAGGGCTACGGGGCCGAGGGAGTTTACACCAATGGACGGTACAGGGAGCACAGCAGTCCGAGGATCGGGAGTGGCAGCCGAGATAATTCCGCCGAGAGAAGTCAGGGAACTGGAAACACACCTTGCGGCATCATGAAGGTTGGTTGATTGAAACACTCAATTTTTCTCCTTGTCAACCGGTTCTCAAGGTGACACGGGGAATTTGCCAAGACTGTGCCACATTGTGACAAAGCAAGAAAAGGCTGTACAAATGTGTGGTAAGCAGTTACCTAAACTGTGGTCCAGACACTTCCAAGGGTCCTTAGAGTTCCACTGGATACCCCAGAGAAATCAAGCTGCCTTTATTTTGGTAACCCTCAGTAAAGGTTTAACAGTAGAGAATACATAAGGCAATTACCACAGATTAGACTTTTTTTATGTCCCCACTTACAATAAAAACAACAGAAATATAATACACTCATGAACAATAATAAATCTCCACAGAACATCTACTTAGTACCCTGCATGTTGGATAATGACACCTACATGAAGATGTAATATAATCATTTTTAAAAACTATATTTGTATATATATAGACCTAATATTTTGACGCTATGCATCTTTAATGTCAGTTCAAACAGTACTGGAAAAAGGAGCCTGAGAATTTGCAATCTTTGCTGCAGTTACCCTGCTGTTGTTACAATAGGTCATACACTTAAACCCCAGTACAGTACAATATTGGTGGAAAGTTGCAGTGTATTTGTGCTATGTGAGAGTTCACACACTTTATGATAGCTCTCCGTTAAGATGTAGTTATTACTGTAACATTCATAGTATTCTGCTGTGGTGTCTGTGTTAAAATGTAATACAAGAATAATAAAGTTTTTTTAGCGGTGCACCCAGGGTTAAATTTATTAACACCTGACAATGCAGAAGAAAAAGCAGGTCTTGGTGAAACCGATGGTGCACAGAATGAATTTTGTGTGCTTTTGAAACTTTTGCCGAATATAAACATGATGTGTGGGCTGGGGCGTGCACTCTTTCTCCATACAGCCCTGTCTATAATGGAAAGTGTGATTTTAATATTTTGAATGGTCGCCCAGCTCTAATTAGTGCTCCCATTACTGCAGGGTTAATTAAGTGGTCTTCCACACACCTACATAGACACGATGGCAACTTTCTTGACATGCTATATACATGGTTACTCCATGTTATGCTTTTAGTGCTCAAGAATGCCTTGATTTTACAACAGAGTGCAATCTGTTTGTACGACAGACTTCATCATGGGGTCCTTGGTGGAGATAGTCCTGCGTAGGTGGGGCACACTGGAGAGTTACATTCTGTCATATCAGACCTTGTTTGCTTAGCAACTGACACAAAACACTGGCTAATTCTCCGTTACCCCCATTATTAGAGTCCCTGTGGATGTGGGCAAACGCAGTGCACACTCCCACAAACAGCATGTATGTATGAATATAGACACTAACACTGGTTGAATGTTGTCAACACAATGGAATCCAAATAAAAGAACATTTTTGCTGTTTCCTGAGGCTTTTCCGACCGGAACATAGTGTTCTTCGTAAGAAAAAAAAAATCTTGAAATATCATAGGGCTCTAAAGCCCTAAATCCCTCCTCTCCCTCCACAACAATCAGTCTTACCTCTGTGAAGCTCATGAGCAAAACATGACAGGCAAGCTGGAGGGGATTGTGCTGTCTGAATATGATTGATAACAAATGTTCAAAGGCTGATTCTCTGAATACCATGCTTATATGATGCTAGAAAGTTATCCTGCTGCACTTTGCTTGTATAGTGTGATGAAGTACAGCGGCAGAGTGTGACTCTGCAGTAGAGTTTTATGACCCCAGTTGTGATCCGTGATACTGCATCGGAGAAGTGCGCTAAGATGCCTTCTTATGTTGGACGATCATGTGCACACGTGAAGGTGAAATCACGGAAAAGTATAGTTGTGCCAATGGCTGAATTTTAGACTGTTCAACTGTCTGTACTCAGTTCATCTGTGCACAGCTTGTAGAGTTCCCTTCTTTTATGTTTCACCTCAGACAGCAGTCGGTGTTAATACTGTAGAAACGCTTCTATAGATTTCCAAAAACATCACCAGTCCAACATCGTCCCTTTCTGTAAAGCAGTTTCAAGTAGACTTAAAAAAGTCTTCGGTTATATCCCGTTAGCAAGTGTTGTTGCAGTTTTATGTTACACTTATGATGACCTTGTAGAACAGGTTTGAGCATTTAACATAAAGATATTCAATGCACAGAGGTGAAACGTTGCTGTCACAGAGCCTGAAATATGTCTTATACCATTTTTTACCTTCTCATGTTCAGCATGTGTTTCCAAGTAGGTTTTGTCTGTGCACGTCCAGAAAAATGCATCGCACATTCTAGTGATGACATGGTTCACACTGTTTGAGCAGAACATGGTGGGAAAGTGGGTCAGCCATTCTGTAGACTTGGTTCATGTATAGCTGCATCACAGCCACCCACACTTGAGCAGCACTTTGCTGTCTGTGTGTTTGAGTGGAGGTTTTAAAAGGTGAAGGGGCTCCTGGTCCATGGGAAGAGGAAAGCAAATGAGCAATTACAGCACTGCATTACCTCATTAACATGGCCCTCAACAAGCAGATCTTAGAAGAGAGGGGTTTGTGTGTCTGTCCCTTAAGCAGGCATCCAACTTTGTCGTTTCCTCAGCGGGGTGACAGTGTCATGGTGGAGAGGCTGCAAAGTGGCTAGAGGGGGGTTTGTGATGCAGCCTTGTTATGTAATGCTGGACTGTGGACAGCTGCGAGGCCGGCTCCAGCCTGGCTGCTGGGTGGGGGGGAACTGACAACCAGCACAACTAGGGAAGGAGCAAACAGGGTTTTACCAAGAGTTTAATGACGACGCTATTGCATCTTGACAGAATCTCCCTTGCATTTGCCATATCTCTCCTTTCTTCTTTATTCACTTCCCCCACCTCCCCACTCTGAAGAATCCTTAACCTTAGCAGCAGATAAAAGGTCAAACATTTATTTTCAGACATCTGTAAGACAAAAAACTGTTCATGGTTGAGTTAAAGGTAATCCAAAAAGAAGGGAAGACATCATTGATGTAACAGTTAAAGTTCACTGGGAATAAAAGATCAATAAAGATCACACAGTTACCAGTCTGTCTTGCGTAAGGTCCTCTCTCCCATGCACCTTGGCTCTCTGCCTCCATGAGTGGCAGGATATCAAGTCACCATCTCATTCGTGACCTCATATAATAGATTTAAGCAGTATGACCCAGTGTGCCCCTCATCAGCTCAAGAGTGTACTGGGATGCTTAGGAAGTGGCCGACATATATGATTGGCTTACGGAGGGGTCATTACTGTCGACTGAGCGCGAAAGCTCCTCTGATTGACTAAAAAAAGAGAACATCCTAGAGGATGAGGTGATACTTTTTAAAGAGGTCTAAAAGACAGAGGATTAGGATTCTCTAGGGTTCTTTACTCATTTATATTTAGTTCAACCAAAGGTATCTTTAGTTTAAAGGGGAGGTTGAAAAAGTGTGTTCTTGTTTTTTTGAAGGACAGAAAATTCCTGGGTTAAAAACAGGGAACTTGAGATGTAATTTGGGTACACTCACATCTCCAAATCTGCCTCTGGTGAAGTGATGTATTCTGCCACATAGAAACAGGGCACAGAAAGTGATGTCAAATAAGCACAGCCACTGAAATGCTCCTTCCAATCTCAAAGTCATCCTCCTCCACTCACTGACCATATAAATAGAAAAAGCAGTTCAGTATTTTGTTTGACCACCTCTGGCCGTTATAACAGCTGCCATGCATCATCCCAGTGACTCAACAGAGGACTTTTAGTGTCCCAGTGTTAAAACTGACCATGCAGACATCAGTGCCTTTCGTAACTGCCAAGGTTGATGTGTGGATAGTCCTTTTTATGGTGCATTCAAGTTTATCCTACAGGGGCTTCGCAAGATTGATATCGGGGATGGTCGCCAGGTCATGAATGTCATTTTATCTAAATGTTCCTTGAATCTTTTCTGGAGGATTCTTGCACTATGACAGGGTACGTAATCATATTGAAAATATCCGTCCCCTTGGGGGTTCGTAAGGACTATAAATGATGATGATGTTATGATACGAAGGTGTTCTCTGGCATTGTATTGTTACATTAACCCAGGAATATAGCTTTGTCTGTTACTTTATGCTTATTGCTTCACAAGCAAAACAAGGGTGGAAATGGAGTTGCCATTGCATACATTTGTTTATTTACTGGCTTAACCTTATGCAAATAGAAAGGGAGGGCCCACTTCTTCTGCACAGCATGTTGTTTGCCTTCGGATGTAGATTGCAACTCCCTTCCTTCTCAACTCCCCAATACCACCTCAGGTTTTCTCAGACCTCTCATTACCTGGGTATTTGTGACCAAATTATATATTTCCTCAATATCCCCAGAAGTGTTCAAACTCGCATGAGCTGGAAATTATTTTGTCAATAACGAACACGTTAATCATTTAATGGTTAATGGTTTGTGGCGGGTGGGGTTGTGTGGCCATTCATTTATTAATTGGCGCATTCAACAGTTACAAGGGCATGCCTTTGTTGTTATCTTCAAGCAGCAAGAAATTCAGCAGCAACAAATGTCAGTAGTGCCAGTCAAAACAATGATCGATGGCCAATTGATTTTGTGTTTAGCTACAGTATATAATATGATCTGAAAACCACCTGGTGAAAGAAACACCAGTCTTTCTTTGTGACATTTCAAAAGTTTACTTAAAACCTGTCTGACACCTGGATAGAAACGTAGCTGACTGTAGGGGATCTGACAGACAGGAGCACAGTGTCTTAACTTTCTGCCCCCTGATGGATTCCACTGTCAGGCCGCCTCTGCTCATGGCTATTGTTTAGCTAATGTGAGATTTGGCTGATCCTCTCGAGGACTGAGGACACCTCAGCACAAGCCTGAAATAAAAACACTGATTACATTTAGTGGGATCATCTGAGATGATGATGATGAGAATTGGAATAAGAGTGTGTCCACGCCTCACTGCTCATATCACAGGCTTTACGTAGATTAAGAGCTCCCACCAAAAATTGAATTTAAAGTAATGGGTAGAAAGTATAGATAGATATCCAGGAAGTTAAGGGTAAAATGCATGTCT